GTCATTGCACAGGTTTTAGCAGTGGAAGAGCATGATCTAACTTATATTTTTGCTTCCAAAGTTTTAGGTTGAAAAATTTCAAATTCACATAAAAATGTAGAGAAGATAGCAATGAACTCTTATCTATCCTTCACATAGGTCCACAGATCATTAATTTTTTGCCCACACTTGTTTTATCCCTTTCTATAAATTTCTACTATTTATTTTTTGATGAACTATCTGAAAGTAAGTTGAAGACAATATGCCCTTCTCCTTTAAATACTTCAGCAGGCATCTTCCACAAAACCCCAGAATAATAATTCTATCAAAGAAAATGAACACAGATTCTACATGATATCCAATCTGTGGCCCAATTTTTTTCAATCTAGTCCCCAATCAAAGTAAATGTGTTGCATTTTACTGTTACATTTCTTTTTTCCCTTTTAATAATGGGAGAACATTCCCTCTACATTTTCTTTCTTTGGTTTGTTCACTTTTCCTGACATTGCAGAGTCCAGGTCAGTTGCCTTGCTGAATGTTTAATATTCTCTATTTGTTTGCACATGATTAGATTTACATTAAATATTTTGATCAGAAAAATAATACAAGGGAGATATTGTGTACCTCTAGCTCCATCGCATCCGTAGTGACAGAGGGTCAGGTTCCACTACTGGTCAAGCAAGTTCGATTACTTTGTAAAGGTAGTGACCAGCAGATATTTCACTGTAAATGCAAAGTTTCTCTTCTATAATTAGTAAGAAGTCAATGGTGGGTATTTGAAACTGTTTGACTATCCATTTTTTTCCTAACATCTTTCTACCTAATGATTGTATCTTAGTTTTAAGTTACTTAGCAGCAATATTGATGGGGAGAGATTTAGATAATAATAAAGGTGATCGTAGTGAATTCGTGTTAACTGTCCTTTTTGGGTATCAGTCTCAAAAACTAACTTATCTCTGTTTATTTGGATTTGTCTGGGTTATTTAAGGGCGTAGCAGACAAGGCCATGTTAGCAGTGGGGACCCTAGGAGAAGCAGGAAACCCCCCACTCCTACAGCGATGGTCTAGGAGCCAGAGTCACACAGAGAAGTTGGAGAGACATCCCCTAGTCCCACAGAGCAAGGCAGCACAGAGCAGAGCTGTGGGGCTACAGGAGGAATGCCCTGGGGTTTGTTCTTGAGCCAGGGTGGTCTGGTGCTTTGGGAAGCTGGGTTCCTTCTGTGGGATGTGATTGTGATGAGGTTGGATGGTGGCACCCCTCAGGACTGCATTATGTCTTGGGGGTGATGGGAACGTCTGAAATGGATCATTGCTGTGAGCTGTCCTTTTGCACTTGGATAAAGCCCAGAGATATCTCTTTCTGGGGCAGAAAGGAAGGGGCTTTGGCTCTTGTCACATTGCTGTTGACCACAGGGGCAAAGGATGTGTTTTCCACCCCATATCTGCTAGGAATCCTGAAGAACTTTGGTCACACTCCCTTGAAGGGATGCCCCAAAAAAATCCATGGAACTGCCCTCTCTTTCCTGGTACTGAGGATCCAGAACCTAAGGTGTAATTGAGCTTTAAATGATCTCTTTTTGTAATTGGCCATTAATCAACAACTTGATCTTTGTTGGGGCTGCAATGAAGGAATTTAATGGTTTGGATGGAAGACAGGCTGGGACAGAGGCAAAGAGTGGTTCTTGCTTTTCCTGGAGCAGCTTTTTCCTGCTGGAACACTCCTCAACAACCAAATGTAACAGACCCTCTAACTGGAAAAGGGGCTGCTGGGGTAGCTAAAAGGATAAAAACTTGCTTGTATTGTGGGAGACCTGGGTTTGAGCCCTGGGTCAGGAAGATCGCCTGGAGAAGGGCATGGCAACCCACTCCAGTATTCTTGCCTGGAGAATTGCAAGGATAGAGGACACGGGTGGTCTACACAGTCCATGGAGTCTCAAAGAATTGAATACAACTGAGCTAATAACACTATGATCCACCTGGAAAAGTTAACTAGTTTTATTTATGAATCATGATGTTTGGCTGATGAGCTATTCCACATCCTATTGAGGGTCATATTCTCTGACATGCCTGGACCACAAAGCAGCCAACCCCATCCCACAGTAGAGAGTGGAAGAGTGTCTGGGGGCAACAATGTGAGAGATTCCTGCCCTGCCATCACAGTGCAAACAGCTGCCAGGCCCTGGCAGCTGCATCCCGTCCCTCAGGCGCATCCTGCAGCCCAACACGTGGGCTTCTCAAACCGGCTGGCTTCACAGGAGAACTGAGGCCACGGGGTTTGGGATCTTCCCAGGCCCACGTGCTAGTGAGGGATGGAGTGGGCTCAGAGCCCTGGAGTGAATTCCTCTGGAGCCCCCGCCTTCCTGCCCACCCCAGGCCACAGGCTGACCTTCCGACTTCTCACACCTTCCTCTTCTCAGTGCTACACAATGCCTCTGAGGGGACAAAAAGCAAGGCCCACAGAAGGAAGGGGATGAGGAGAATCAGAAGTACTGTGGGGCTGCTCTGGGGTTTGCTGAGAACTGACTCTGCCGGGGCCCGGCGTCTCCGTCCATCCCAGCGCCTCCCACCTGAGGGCGGAGCCCTGTCCCTGCTGCTGCCATGGGGCGTCCTCCCCAACTGCACCTGCCAGGCTGACCAGCTCCTCACCGAGCAGGAGGGAGGGAGGGTCTGACCTTATGGCCCCGATGCCCATTGGGATAAGGCCCCTAAAGGAGCCTCCTCTGATATGGGAGGGAAGGTAACACGACACCCGAAGCTTCAGGTCTCCCCAGCCCCAGTGAGGGAGGGGAGCAGCAGGAGGGCCTCTGGGCTGGGGACACCGGGGCAGGGACGCCAAGCACAGGGGCAGGAGGGTGCGGCTGAGAAAGGCAGGCCTTGGAAGTCATGAGGGCTTGTGTGTGCACAACACGGGTGTCCTGAGCCAGAGCTGAAAAAACTCCTCAGTGCCATGCAAACCCACTGCCCGGGCCCATGTGGTGCCTGGAGGAGGGGGACCAGAAAAGGCAGCTCCCTCAGGACCCAGAGATGAGGAGGGGCCCCGAGTAGGGTGGGGGTGGGGGCAGGAAAGGCCACCTAGTCAGGCTGCCACAGGTATCACAGTCTTTGGTCCCCTTCAGAGGAGCCACCGGGGGCCCCCACCAACAATCATAGCCTCTAGGTTCATGTCCCAGTCAGATGAACTGACCTGAAGGAATGCTTTGTCAACCTGTTTAGGAGCACAAAGGCAAGGGAGCAAGCAGAGGTCAAGGCCTGTGAGGTCCATTCTAGCCACCAGACCTCAGACTGAAAGGCCCCTGGGCGAGTTTCTTCCACACCCTCTTAGCTCTCCCCTTACAGACACTAGGCTGTGGCCCACACACAGGGCAAAGACCCTGCTGAGTGGCAGAATTAGGGGGACACTGTCCCTAGGTACACTGCTCTAGGGTCCTCACCCACGGGCCCTTCCAAGGTGCCGATCTGTCCCCTACATGGTGATTTTGAAGAACAGTGGCCCACCAAGGTCAGAGAACACGCATCTCCAAACCCACTGCCCTATTACCCATGTGTGGTGAAGACAGGTGACTTTCACTGGGGTTTCGTCCACTCCCACACCCGGGCTCTCATCCATTTTCAAATACAGGCAGACGGGGACTTCCTCTGGTCACATCTAGCTCAACAATTTAGACATGTCTCTGGGAGTGGGTGTCTGTAAAGGACGCCCCTAAAAATGCACCTAACCAGTGCCAACAAAATCATTCGATGTACCTGCCATCTGGGTAAGGGAGAACAGGTTCCCAGTGGTGGTGGGCACAGGGGCAGGGGCAGAGAAGATCAGAGCTGGCCTTGGAGAGGACCAGTGAAATGCTTGCTTTCAATAGGACAGGCTGTACCTTGAGCCCCCAATCAAGTCCTTCAAAGGGCAGGTATACACAGACACCCAAGTTGGACACGGGATGCCAGGATCAGAGGTAGCAGAAGCCCAGGCAACCCATTGATGAAGGAAACAGTAATTTTGAGGCAGCCTCCAGGGAGACTGAATTCGAGGCTCTGGGCAGGGGATAGGAGGAGCACACACACAGGTGTTCCCAAAGTGAGGACTCTAGGGTCACGAGAGCAGTCTTTATGGGAAGAAATGGAAACTGAAGACAGAAGCCTGTGATCTGCAGTGGGATGGCATCTGGGGGTGGGCAGAGCTCAGGAGGCTGCAAGCTCACCAGAGCACCTGGCTGGGCCCTCCTACAGGGCATCCTGGGGAGTCTGTGTCTCAGGTGCTTGGGGAACAGTCAAGTGGAATATGAGGTCACTCCACTGTGCTCAAGTGCAGCCCTACTCTGGGGAGAGCTCGACCTGGGTGGCAGTGGTGGCAGGACAACAGGACTCTGACTTTGGGGCCATCTGAGTGGGACCTAGCAACCGGCAGCACCAGCCAGAAGACAACAAAGCCAGAAGAGGGGCAAGGCCACGGCTGGTGGGGTGGAGAGGTGGGACCACCAACTCAGGCTAGGCTAACCAGCCTGCTGTGATCCCATCTTCTGGGAGGGACAGTTGCCAGGGGCCCATCTGACCCCTGGGATCTCTCTCAGTGGTGGCCAAGCCAGGACTCGCCAAGCCTGGCCCTTAAGCAAAAGCCAGCCACAGGCCTGCCCATTGGCAGGGAGGGGGGTGAGGCCAGGGGCACATTTGTCAACCCATCCAGGGTCCGGCCGCCCCCTGAAACAAAGCGCCTGGCAGCAGATGGGAACCTTTGCAAGCACCCTGAAACAAACTTTTCTGTACTTTCAGACAAGAGACCAGCTGGGGATCCCATCTCTGTCCTCAGACCCCCCCTCCCCTACACAGGACAAGGGCTGCCTCTCCACATCACCTCTGTGACATCATGAAACAGTTAAGGAAGCTGGCCACTTAATTGGCTGCCTGGCCCATGACCCAGATTCTAGAATGTCCAGGGAGTATTTATGGGGCACCCGAACCCTGGCCTGAGCCCCTTCTGCCCTGTGCATTCACTGCTGGGGTAGAGAATGCTCCTGAGCTAGACTGGCTCCATGGCTAGTCAGAGTTCCCACGAGTCACACACAGCCCTGCTGGCCCCATTAACTTATGGGGAGCCCACAACAGGGGGCCCCTGTGATTCCTCCTCAGATCCAAATGTTGATTCAGGGGAGGCTTTGGAGAAACAGGGTGACCAACCCGAGAGCCCTGATCCAGGCCTCCATGACAATCTTCCCCCACAGGGCCCAAAGCCAGAAATGGCCAACAAGGAAGAGAACAGCGCCGTCCTCGGGCTGTCCTTCCCCAGGAAGCTCTGGAGGATCGTGGAGGATGCGGCCTTCACCTCTGTGCGCTGGAATGATGAGGGAGACATGGTGGTCATCGAGGCAGATCTCTTCCAGACAGAGGTCCTCCAGCGCAGAGGTGTGGACCAGATCTTCGAGACAGAAAGCATCAAGAGCTTCATCCGTGAACTGAACCTGTATGGTTTCAGTAAAATCCGCCCTTCGTGTCACTCTGCAGGGAAGAAGATGATGGTAATGTAGAGAGTCCTTCTGGGGAGGCTAGACTAGAAAAACTGAGTGCTGGACGGGTTTCATTTCCCAGGGGGACGTTGTTCTCATGAAAGGGTGGTTAAGGAAAGAGGAGACACAAGGTCTGTCTTGTTCCACCACCCCCCTTAGACAGGATCCACAGGGGTGACTCCAGACCCTGAGGGGCCACTGAATGTCAGGGACCGCCAGGAACACCTCAAGTGAGGATGGCCCCGGGGCAGCTCTAGGTAGAAACATGCTAAGGCCTCATAACCTGCCAGAATGAAGAGACTTTGTCTCTATACATAGGCATGGCCAGGATGGTCATGGGGAAGAAGGCGGCGAGGAAGGCTTCTTCTCCCCCTTGCTGTCTAAAGTGATTCATTTTCTTTCAGATCTATCGCAACTCCAATTTTCAGAGGGACAAACCTCTCCTCCTGCAGAACATCGCAAAGAGAAAGAAGCGAGTGATGGCGACCAGACACTCTCCTCAACTCCATCACAACCAGTGCACCCAAGAGGTGGGCAAGAAAGTCCAGAAGGCAACCCCACCTGCTCGCAGAAACCCCAGGCGACGATCATCTGGGCTCTCTCGCGTTTGCTATATGTGCTGTGCAGCCGGGCAGGCCGGGGTAAAGCATCTCCCCAGAGAGCAGGGTGGCCCCAGTGGAAAGGGCACGTCCAACAGTGCCATGTCTGTACCCCCAGCTACTTCTGGGAGGAAGAGTACTGGGCAAATGCCCAAGAGCCGCCCCGAGTACCCAGATTATGATTCAGTGATGGCTCTGTACAACACCTGTCACTCCATGCTGATGGCAGCCCTTTCCGGCCGAGCCCCAAACCAGGCCCCTGAGGCAGAGTAGGAGCAGGGAGAGCTCTCAGAGGACTTGTCCTCTATGAGCAGGTCAAGGACAAGCCCCATCCCTGACCTCTCAGGTTCCCGGGGACACTCCAAAGTACTCTCCTGTAATCAAAAATCGATTTTTGGCTCTAATAAAGAGGTGCAAAACTACACATGAGTAAATAAAGAATCGAATGAGAATGACCAGCCTGTGTCCTTTCTGTCTGTTCACGCTATTCAAACGGCACAGGGTGAGCCAGATGAGGCTGGAAGCCCACACTCCATGCAGGCTTCAGTCTGGTCCATGTGGTCCCTTTTCAATGGAAGCAGCAGCATTTCACATGCTCGGCCAAGGGTTTGGCTCACTAGCCGAGTGCTGAGGCCAGCCCAGGATGGGCTGGTCACTGGGCCTTGCCTGCTGCTCAGCAGATGGCCCAGCTGGGCTCCTGACCTTGGGGGGTGTCACCTTCCAAAGTCATGCACCATGAAGCAGAAGGGACTCTTCCTGGGTCCCCAAAGATGCCACAAGTTTCTGCTCAGCAGCTGAGCATCTCCAGCTATTGATCCAGGGGCCTCCCCCCAAGAGGCTGACCAGAAAGCAGGGTCACCTCACCTGCCAAGGGCCTTGCAAACACATGACCCCAAACCCAAAGACAAGTACAAGCTTTCCACAAGGTGAACACCAGCCCTTGTTGCTCTGCCCTCACAGGTATATTTAGGAGCCTGTCTTTGGACGTGAGGCAGCCAGGCACTGCATCCAACACACATGCTTTGTGAGCCAAGGGACACATTAGAAAAGAGCAAGGGTCACCTGCAAGGACAAACCACAGCCTGTTTCTGGGCCTGTGGGCATCTCTGCCTGCTGACACTCAGCCAAGCCCCCAGCCTTCCCCATTACCCTCTGGACACTGTTCCAACATCGGGGAGTTTGGACCAGAACAGAGAGGGAAAAACACTAAGCGGTTTCCTAACAACACATTTCTCTCCACCACCCAGACACAGCAGGGCCAAAATGAGTGGCGATGCCCTCTTATCGTGAAGGTCAAAGTCCTGGAGACTCACGCTGAGTTCCGAGCAGCACCACACGAGGAGCATCCCAGACCCCCAACCTGCACCATGTTGGCAGCACACCCAAGGGTGGGGCCAATTCAGATGAAACTAGACGGGCATGTTCAGGGCGCAGCGGTGACTGGACAGTGTCACCATGTGCAGGTCTCTTGGTCACCTTCCTCTCAAGAGCCCAGCCTGGACAGGTCTCCTGCCCAAAGGGGATCAAGTGCTTGGCGATGTCCACCTGGAAGATGTCCTTCCCGCCCCTCCCAGGGACGGGCTGCAGCAACGGGTGGGGCTTGGCAAGCACAGTCAGGTACTTCTGGAGAAGGTTAGGTAGCAGGGCTTGATTCTCCAGCTCCTCTACCGCATCGGGATCTAGGTTTTCTGGGCACAGCAAAGTGTCCCCAATTTCCACGAGACCTATGTGCAAAGACAGGACACAGAAGGGGAACAAGGTGATTCAAAGTCATGCCTGCTGGAGACTAAGACCATATTACGGAGGAAGCCCGAGGTGAACTGGGTCTTCTGGATGAGCATTTTCAGATGGGCTTACCTTGGTGAAGGGAATTCAGTGTGAAGCCAAGCCAGTGAGGGAGCGAAATGAAAGGGAGAGGCCTGGTGCTCCACAAACCCACCAGGCCACGGGCAGCTCTCAGTCTGACCACTGCAGGCCACAGGGACAGAGCAGGAGGGCTCTGGCAGGGTCCAGCAGACATCAGGTCCCCAAGGGATTTACCAGCAGAGAAGTGTTGCTTTGGGGCCTTACCCCTGGGGAGTCAGGGGGCTTGCTCAGGCCTGGCTGCTGACAGTGTGGGTATTAAACCCAGGCCGGGTGCTTTACTGACTCTCATGGTCTCTGTCGGGCAGACAGACACATGTGGGTACACACATACACACACACAAACACACACACACACAAAGTGCCATGTGCAGACCTGGATCCGCCTCTGCTCAGAGCACAAACGGGGACTAAGGCCAGGGAGGTGGTCAGGCACCTCATGCCATTGTCTCCCAGCCAAGGGACCTGCACTGTCCCTCTGAAGAAATCTCAGCCCCTCCCCCACCAACTAGTTCAACAGAGAACAAACGAACACAAACAAATGATCTTTTGGGAAAGCAAGCTGAGATCCAGGGCAGCACCGGGGGGCATGCAGGCAGCATGGGGCAGGGTCTCACTTGCCCACGATCACTCTAAGGCCGAACTTGTCTCCATCCTGCAGCAAGGCCTGGATCGGGGCGGGGCTAATCCCCAGCCTCTGCTCCAGCAGTTCCTTCCAGGCCACATCCACCCAGTCCCCGTGTGTGTGTGGACAGCCAGGGTACCGTGACAGTGGTCACACAGCCCAGGCCGCCAGACAGTATTTATCGTGCACCCCAACTCTGGTCTGAGACCCTTCTGCCCTGAGTGTTCACTGCTTGGGTAGAGAATGCTCCTGAGCTAGACTGGCTCCATGGCTAGTCAGAGTTCCCACAAGGCACAGGCAGCCCCGCTGGCCCCATCAACTGATGGGGAGCCCACAGCAGGGCACCACCCTGATGTCCCTCCGGATCCAAACATGGATTCAGGGGAGGCTTTGGAGAAGAAGTGAGACCAACCCAAGAGCCCATATCGGGGCTACCAAGACAGCCCACCCCCACAGGGCCTGAACCCAGAAACAGCCAAAGATGAAGAGAACAATGACGTCCTTGGGCTGTCCTTCCCCAGGAAGCTCTGGATGATCATGGAGGATGCGGCCTTCACCTCTGTGCACTGGAATGATGAGGGAGACATGGTGGTCATCAAGGCAGATCTCTTCCAGACAGAAGTCCTCCAGCACAGAGGCACGGACAGGATCTTCAAGACAGAAAGCATCAAGACTTGCATCCGCAAACTAAACCTGTATGGGTTCAGTAAATCTGCCCTTCGGGTCGCTCTTTAGGGAAGAAGAGGATGATGGTAACTCAGAAAGCCCTTCCGGGCAGACTAGACTTGATGAGCCAAATGCTGGACAGGTTTCATTTCTTGGGAGACTTTTTTCTTGTGAGAGGGCAGTTAAGGAAAGAGGAGAAAGCAGGGCCAGTCATGTTCGACAAAGCCCCTTAGACAGGATCCACAGGGGTGACTCCAGACCCTGAGAGGCCACTTTATGTCAGGAAGTGCCAGTAACACAAGTAGGGCTGGCCCTGGGGGAGCTCTAGGGAGCACACTCACTAGGGGCTCATAACCTGCCAGGAATGAAGAGACCTTGTCTCCATAGTTAGGCAAGGCCTGGGCGGTGGTGGGGAGGAGGGCGGTGAGGAACGGCTATTCCTCCCAATGATGGCTAAAGTGATTCCCTTTCAGATCTATCATAACTCCAACTTTCAGAGACAAACCTCTCCTACAGAACATCTGGAGGAAAGGCGACCCCAGAACAACTGCTCAGCCCACCACTGGTGCAACAATGACCCCAAAGAGAAAGAAGCATGTGCTGGCGACCAGATGTTCTCCTCGATTCCATCACAACGAGTCTCTCCAAGAGGCTGTCAAGAAGGCCCAGAAGAGATTGCCAACTGTTCACGGAATCCCTGGCTGGTGCTCATTTGCATTTTGTGGCCTTTGGTTTATGGGCAGTGTAGCCATGGAGGCCAGGGCAAGCCATCTCCCCAGTGAGCAGGGCAGCCCCAGTGGAGAGGGTTCATCCAGCGATGTCACTTCTGTACCTCTGGCTACTGCTGGAAGGGATGGCGCAGGGGAACTGCCTGAGATTCCCCCCAGAGTACCCAGGTTATCTTTCACTGGTGATTATGTACAACACCTATTTTTCGATTGTTATGGCGGCCGTTTCAGTTGTGGCCCCAAACAAGGCCTCTTAGGCAGAGGAGCAGGAGTCCTCAGATTACAAGTGTGCCCTTTGTGAGCAGTTCAAGGACAACCCCAATCCCTGAGCTGCCCTGGCCCCAGGGAAACTCAAAAGCACTCTCTTGTAATCAAAAATCTATTTCTGGCTCGAATAAAGTACAGCAGAACTCCACAGGAGTAAATAATCAAATTAGAACTGTGAATCTGTGTTCTATCTGTTCATGCTATTCACACACGGCACTCGGTGAGCCAGATGAGGCTGTAAGCCCACGCCCCAGGAAGGCCTCAGTCCAGTCCCCACGGTCCCTTTTCATCTGAAGCAGCAGCATTCACACCCTCGGCCAAGAGTGTGGCTCCCGAGCCGAGCACTGAGGCCAGCCCAGGATGGGCTGGTCCCTGGGCCTTGCCTGCCGCACAGCAGAAGACCCAGTCCAGCTCCTGACCATGGGGGTGTCACCTTCCATGAGTCATGCACTCTGAAGCAGAAGGGGCTCCTCCTGGGTCCCCTGATGATGCCACAAGTTTCTGATCAGCTGCTGAGCATCTCCAGCTCCCAATCCAGGGGCATCCCCAAAAGGCCCACCAGAAAGCAGGGTCACCCTACCCACCAAGGGCCTTGCAAACACGTGACCCCAAACCCAAACACAAGTACAAGGTTTCCACAAGGTGAACACTAGCCCTTGTTGCTCTCTGCCCTCACAGCTGTATTTAGGAACCTGTGTTTGGACCAGGAGCAGCCAGACACCGTGACCAACACACATTTTGTGAGCCAAGGGACACTTTAGAGCAGGACAAGGGTCACCTGCAAGGACACACTGTGGCCTGTTTCTGGGCCTGTGCCTGCCGGAGCCTCGCCGGCTGCTCAAGCTCAGCCCTGTCCTTGGCCTCCCCCATCACCCTCTGGACACTGCTCCAACTTCAGGGAGTTTGGACCAGAACACAGAGAGAAAACCACTAACCGGTTTCTTAACAACACATTTCTCTCAACCACCCAGACCCAGCAGGGCCAACAGGAGTGATGATGCCATCTTTTTGTAAAGGTCAAAGTCCTGGAGAGTCTTGCTGAGTCCAGAGAAGCACCACACGAGGGGAGTCCTGACCCCTGGCCCCGCACAAAGTGGGCAATGCACCCCAGGGCGGGGCTGATTCAGACCAAACCAGACGGGCACATCCAGGGCGTGACGGCGACTGGATAGTGTCACCATGACCTGGTCTCTCGGTCACCTTTCACTTGGGAGCCCAGTCTGGACAGGCCTCCTGCCCAAAGGGGATCAGGTGCTTGGGGATGTCCACCTGGAAGATGTCCTTCCCAGCCCTCCCTAGGATGGGCTGCAGCAGCCAGTGGGGGGTGGCGAGTGCAGTCAGGTACTTCCGTCACAGGTCAGGCAGCACAGCTTGATTCTCCTGCTCCTCCACCTCATCGGGACCTAGGCTTTCTAGGCACAGCAATGTCCACGAGACCTGTGTGCAAGACAGGGCACAGAAGGAGAACAACTTGATTCAAAGTCACGCCTACTAGAGACTAAGACCATATCTCAGAGGTGAACCCGGGTGAACTTGATCCTCTGGCTGAGCCTTTCAGACAGGCTCACCTCGGCAAGGGGAATTCAGGGAGAGGCCAAGCAAGGGAAGGAACAAAATGAAAGGGAGAAGCCTGTGCTCCATGAACTCACCAGGCATGGGCAGCTCTCAGTCTGCCCACTGCAGGCCACAGGGACAGAGCAGGAGGGCCCCAGCAGGGAGCCTGCGGACATCAGGTCCCCAAGTGATTCATCAGCAGAGAGGTGTTGCTGTGGGGCCTCACCCCTGGGGAGTCAGGGGGCTTGCTCAGGCCCTACTGCAGGCAGTGGGGGTGGGGAACCCAGGCTGGATACTGTGCTGCCTCTCATGGTGTCTGCTGGGCACCCACATACACATGTGGAGATACACACACACAGACAAGTGCCATGTGCAGACCTGGACACGCCTCTACCTCTCAGAGCACAAACAGGGACTGAGGCCCACTGTGGTGATCAGGGACCTTGGGCCGCCGTTTCCCAGCCCAGGGACCCTCACTGCCCCTCTGAAGAAACCTCAGCCCCACCTGGCCCCTCACCAACCGGTTCAATAGAAAACAAAGGAGCACAGCCCTGGCTGAGATCCAGGGCAACACCAGGGGCCGTGCAGGCAGTGTGGGGCAGGGAGTCACTTGCCACGATCACTCCGTGGCCAAACTTGTCCCCGCCCTGCAGCAAGGCCTGGATCTGGGTGGGGCTCATCCCCAGCCTCTGCTCCAGCAGCTCCCACTAGGCTGCATCCTCCCAGTCTGGTGCCTGATGTGGACTGCCAGGGTACAATGCCAGGTCCGCATAGCACAGGTCGCCACCTCCTCTACAGGTCTTGACACTGTTTAAGATGAAACTGGCGTAAGGCTATCAGAAGGTCAGACAGCCAAACTTCATCTCCCAGGGCCTCATGTGGCTGTGTAAATACAGAACCTCAAAGGCCAGGAGCCTGACACAGTGGCCTCCAAGCTCACAGCCCTGGACTGGACCTCAGCCCCATGTGTCTGAGCATCCTCCAAGCCTGCTGACACAGAGGGGAGGTTCACAGAGGGCTGGCTCCTTCCATCCATCTCTACGTGGTCTGCTGACAGGGGGTGGTGATCCAGAGGACCCGTCCATCACATGCAGTCTGTGGGGAGGTCAGGAAGGAGGGCTGGACAGCAGGAGAGAGGCACGAAGTGAATTCTAAGACAGAGGGACTTGAAACCCTGGGAGCATTGAGGAGGGAGGGTGGGTTCCCTGGCTTCACAGCCCAGTTGCCTGGCTTTGGTCCTCTCTCAGCAGAGACAGGCACAGTCCTGGGCTTGGCTTCCTCCACCCCTGGCCCCAACCCCACCCCCCTCAGCTCCCCGGCCCCATCCCTGCCCATGCTCTGCAGATCCCCCATCTCAGCCCAGGGCTGCTGAGCACAGATCCATGCTAACCAATCTGGCCTTGACCCAGGGCCACCCTGGACTTTAGACAGCCCTGCCACGTGTCTTCCCCACGCCTTTGGGAGCAACCTTCCTCCCAGCCCTTCCTGTACCATGGCCTCCACTGTCAGCAGATGCTCTGGCCCCTGCCCAGAGCCTAGAGAAAGAATGAAGGAGAGCAGGATCTACTGGGACGGGTGCCCTCCATGTCCTCACCAGGGCCTGGGACGTCAGGGATCACAGAATTCAAACCTCAAATAACCCACTAGGTTACTGTCACCTCGTTCATGTGTCTGTTTTCACCCTTACACGGTGTCTGTTTACACCTCCCAGTGTCGGGGGTCCCACAAGTTACTGACACTTCCCTCCTGATAGAAGAGAAGGGAAAACTCATTCTGCCAGTACAACCACTTGACATGACCACACACTCACTGACTGAAGAATCATGCAGAAGGAGGCTCGGGGAACAGGGCACACACTCGAGGTGCTGACACACACCAGCAAATGGTCTTCTGCAAAGGCTCCCCCTTGTCCATTCCCCCATCCACAGGCAAGGGTGGCCCCAAGCATCATCATTCAACTGAACTGTTGCCCATCTGCTGGGTGACAAAGGGTCACTTTCTTCACTGGGTCTGGATTAATTACCAGGGAGCCTGGTTGACCCCTGGGGCATGGCCATTGCTGTCTTCTACTGAGGTATTTGACTGGATACCAGGCTCACCCAGTGCCTGCCATTCAGTGTCTCAGCCAACCCAACCCCTTCCTCCTGGGTGCCACTGAATCTCAACTGTGTGGGTGGGATGCCTGAGCAAGAAGGGACTGCAAGCGCTCCTACCTCTCAAAGCACAGGGTGCCTGCTTAGTGGCCAGAAGAGAAAACTCTCTTCCACCTGCTTGTCTGGGTGTCTTCACCTGCACGAGGACCAGAGCAACAGGGAGAAAATCACCTGTGACAAGACAGCAGTGCTGGACACCAAACCACCACAGGGGCTTGGCAGGGGCCTTAGACCATGGGGACCCAGGAGGGCACAACCGATGAGAAACACACATGCAGGTTCCCTCAGGGTGGGCTCTGCTCATCACAGCAACTGGCCTGTCCTTACATGGCTGGGACAGGGACCCCACGATGCCTCAGCCCAGGACACAGAAACCCATCTCCCAGGAGTGATGGTGATTTACCCCCCAGGAGATCCTGCAAGGAACAAGAAAAAACGACTCCTCCCCTCACACTGCCACTCTCAAAGGATCTGGGAACCACCACAGTCAGTCGGCCATCCTCCATGAACTCGTGGTTGGGCCCCACCAGGAGGGGAACCGTGGACAAGCAGCTGAGCCCTGGAGGGTCAGGCCTGGGTCAGGGCCGCTCGCCGGGGGCGGGTGGGGCTCCCATGAGGTCACAGCCCAGGGGCAGAGCAGGAGACTGGACAGCAGGTCTGCGGGTGTTTTCGCATGTGTCCCAGGGCATCGCTGGGATGCACACATGGAAGGATGATGGGCAGGGACTGTGGCTGTGGAGGGGACCAGAAAGTGCAGCTTGGCCGCCTGGCAGGCAATCCTGGTCTCAGAGCCTGGAAACCCCCACCCGGAGGTACCATCTGCGCACGAAGCAGTTTCTTCCTTCCTGCAAGCAGAGCGAGTCGCGGGCGCTTTGGGATGGCCGGGCTGCGGCCACTTGGCAGGACATTGGTCCGCCCCCAGGACCCAAGACCACTGACAGGTGATGGCGGCAGGCCTTAACTGCGCCTCGCCCACAAACCCTGAAGCCCCTCATTTCCGGTATGTATGGCTTCCGGTACTCACGTATGCACGCATGCACGCAGGCAGGCAGTTAAGTAAACACGCACGTGCAAACGCACGTGCAAACAAACTCGCGTTCTGTCGCCACCCTGTCTGCTAGGAGACGAAATAGGAGCCACCATGAATTGAGGCGCGTGGAAGTCCAGGCCAGGAGGAGCCTCGAGACCGGCGGCGTTGAGCGGGACCTGAAAGAGGACCAGGAAGTGATTGGCCAGGTGGAAGAGAGGGTGAAGGTGGGAGGAGCAGGGCGAGGAGTAAGGGGCTGAAGTGTGGGAAAGACCTCAGTGAGGAGCTTATGGGTAAGGGGGCGGGGCTGGGGTGGGGTGAAGCCACCGGGGAGTGGGGCTGAGCTGACAGGGATGGAGCTGTGGGCCCAGGGAACCCATGGAGGCTGGGCCTGTCCACCTCCATGGCAGAGGCCAGACTGTGCCCTTTTAAGTCCTTGCCTTAGGCGTCCAGTCTGCAAGAATCGGCGAGAGTCAAAGTGACCATGATCCAGTGTCCTCAGAGACTGCATCCAAGCTTCACAATGGACCCCAGGGGCCAGGGAAGCGGGGAGAGGCGGGGCCTCTGGGCGCAGTTCCACATCTCTGGGCTGAAAGCCCAGGTTGGTTCCCCTTGTAGCCACCCTGGGGCTGCTAGCCCAGTGCCGAGCAGCAGTCTATCTGTGTGGGTTTCTTTTTTTTTTTTTTGCGCAGATAAGAAGGAAAATCCTCAGTGTGTTTCCTGCTGCCCCTGGGACCTGAGATGCACCACAGAAAGGCAGCTTTGCCTTCAAGACTGTTTCCTGGACTCTTGCTCTCATCCGGGGGCTCAGCGCACCCAGGGCAGCCACCTGACTCTGCTCCTGACTGCCGCCCTCCCTGCTGTGTCCCTGCCTCCCAAGTGCCTGATCAGAGTAAATGCTCCTCTTCCTGTCCCCACTGCTAGTAGCTGACCTCAGACCTCATGGCCTGGGGCCAGTGCTGTCAGCTTAGGCTCCCCACTGGACCAGACCCCTCTTATCTCTCCTCCTCCAGCTGGTATTGCACTCCATTGGTTCTGCATCACACCACATGAATGTCTTCGTCAACCCTGGATTGCAAATGCGATCTCCTGTTTAAGCCCCAACCTGTCCATGTTGCCCTGGGCAGGGAGGGGGAGGCTTCCAGTGGTCCCAGGTCTCCCTCCTAGTGGTGACTGTGCTGGTCCTGTGCTCTGTACAGAGCACATCTGGGAACCCACACTTCAGCTTGTGCAGTTCCTGCCCCTGGACCACTGGCTTCTCTTGTCCTGACAACCTACTGTCCTACTTCCATGCCTGTAACATCCCTTTCTCCATCCGCCTGAGTGTCAGGTGCTCTCATCTGGGAGTTCTGGGGCCCCCTGCATCTTCCTGCTGCCACCTTTGCCTCCCTCTTCCTCCCAGGCTGTGGCTGCTGGGCACGAATCTGGCCCGCCGAGAGTTGCTGAGTCCCAGGAAGGCAAGGTCGGTGTCTCACTGATTCCCGTTAGCTGGGTACCCACACAACTGCTGCCGTGGGAATGCTGAGTGGCGGAGCAGTGCTTTCCCTTCCAGCGTGCAGCCTGCTCTCTCCTTTCAGAAGCCGCAGGCCACGAGTTGAGGGGACAGAGGCTGCCTCTTGTATTTGAGGCCTCAGCACTGTGGGGACCCAAGTGATTACCACACCCAACTCTTTCATGATGGTGCCCCACTCCTCACCCCAAGAGTGGTTACCAGCTGCCTCCAGACACCCCAGAACCTCCTGGAACTGGTTTCAGATCATGAGGGAGCATCCTGTGAATGGTGGGTGGGCTGCTGCTATTTTTCCCAAATCTTGGTTTCAAACGAGACCTTGCCCAGTGAACTGGACACCTATGACATGTGGCTGCTGATGGGGGAAGCTGTGAGGACCTGCTCCGTGGCGTTTCTCCACACCCATCTCTTCCCTGCTGCTGGCCCCAGCTCTCCTCACATGCCCAGGTGTGGACCGATCGATGAGGACTGCTGCCTCCTACCCAACCTGGGTCTCTGAAGCTTGGTGAGGGTTCCACTTTGCTACTGCTGTACGTTTGCAGGCAGCAGTGACCTGGGGTGGGCTCGACCCAGATTCTCGGGTTCCCTCCTGTCCTCCTTGGCCGATGTGGTTTCCTCTCTGAGAGGCGTGTTGCCCATCTCTCCACTGAGCTGTGTGTCATTTCGGTGCCGAGTTGTGGACACTTGTTTCCGGGTCTGGGTGCTCATCCTGCCCTGGTTGTTTGTGTTTCAGATTTGCCCTCTTCTGTTTGCAGGCTATCGAAGGACTCAGTATTTTCCTGGTCTCTCAGAGCCGTAAGTGCCCCACTGGTCAGCGAGTGTCCCTCAGGCCCTCCCTCTGGGGGCCACTGTCCACACCCAGGCTTGCCACCTGGGGCAAGCAGTCCCTGAGGAGACACTGCCCTGGTGTCCAGCATTCTGCCTGTGAGAGAGGGCTCCTTCACATCCATGTCAGTCCTACGGTCCCTGCCTAGCTTTAGTTCTGGGCCTTGGACTCCCGCACGCCGGACAAGCCCAGGGGCAGCCGTATAGCTCAAGTACAGGAGCCAGCCTTCCCCTGTCTCCCCAGGACAGCTGCTGGTGGCCGCGCCCTTCTCCATGCAGCCCAGATAGAGGGGCCAGTGTGAGTACTGGATGCGTTTCTGATTTCATCTCAGTTCCACTGCAGTTCTTTGAGAGGACCCGGCACACGTGGGACCTGCGGACACGGGTGGCCACTCTGCTGCCATGACTCAGGTGCTGCCTGCCCAGGGGCTGGGGCACTGCCCAGGGGGCCTTGGTAGCTTCTGTGAGCCTCTGGCGCTGCTCCACTTGCATTCACATCACACGCCTTTATATCACGTCTGACCCGAGCTAGGGTGATGCTAGTTTGCGCATGCGCATCATTTCCAAACTGTGGGGTCTACGTGGTCTTCACTGTCTTCTGTCTGAGCAGGTTGGCCACTACCCGGGCACCAGGTCCCCCAGCACTGGAGGGTGCCTCTGGACACCAGCCTGCAGCCCACTGAATGAGTCCAGCTGTTTTGTTTCTGAGATCAAGGAGCAGGGAGGGTGGCCTGGAGTGTGCCTTGCCATCCCATACCCATGGTGAGAGGACTTCAATGAGTAGACTCTCATGCTCTGGGCGGGAGGCCCGTCCGGCTACCCTTTGAGTACTTGCATGCCCACCGTGGTAACTTGGCCGAGCACAAAGAGGGTGTGAGGAGTCAGGAGCAGAGAATGTCCATGAGGTGTCATCAGAGGTGAGAAGGTTCTCCAGTTCATGAGTGGGGTGAGTATCCCCCCTCTTTTTCTGTGTGTTTCTCTTTTACTCACTGAAGTTCATGCACGGCTTCTGTTTGGTCTTACCGTCTTTCCCTTATATCACATATTCCCCCAGGTTCTGAAGGACTCCTCAACAGATGTCTCACTAAGCCCTGCACTGGCTCTGGGGGATACTGCATTCTGGGTTCTCCCAGTTCAAGACCGACTGATGATTCCTTGGGACTGACCCTGTGTCCCTTGCCCCTTGACCCCCTGTGCTCAGAAACCCCAGCCCAGGGGGTCCTCCTGAAGCAGCTTCAGAGTCAGAGTTAACTGGGTCTCTCACGTCAGTGTCAAGTTGAACCTGTCTGGCAACCTCCACCCATCTGATGGTCCCACTGCCCTGCATGCAGGCACCAATGCAGAGTCCGAGGTCCCGTTGGGAGGGGCTGGGGTCATTCATGTGTCTGTTTGCTGTGGTGCAGTAGTGTCCTTCTCCCGGGGACCTGCGCCTTCCCTATTCCTCAGTTCCAGACCTGAGAACTGGCTCAGGGGCCGGACCTGGGCGAGGGATCTTGACCTGTTTACTGGGGTGGTCACCCTTGGCCTCAGTGTCATTTTGGACTGTACCTTGGTCATTTGCCCACCTATCGAGCCTCCAGGAGGCCGCATTTTACTGACCACCTGCTCTGCTGTGAATCTGGACTCTTGGGCGGCAGCATCCCTGGTCATGACCCCTGGCTCCTGGCCGCTCAGTGCAACCCCACAACCTCTGCTGCAGTCCCTGGGCAGCGGGGATGGAGGGAGGGGCTGTTATCCGTCTCCTCCATCACCAGGCCCAGCAAGCCTGGCCTGTGTTGTGTGGTGACTTCGCTCTGCTTGGTGGCTGGGCAGTAGGTCCAGCTCTTCCCGTGGTTCCTTAGTTCTCCTGCTGGTAGTGCTGTGGATCCTGCAGCAGATCAGGGACAGCCAGCTCCCCTGCTTCCTGGGACAGAAGGTACCTGTGAGGAACAACTCTGGTCCCATTTGCTCCCTTGGGGGTGGGGATGGGGGGTCACCAACTCTTTATGGGGTGGGATGGGTGGGCTGCTGCTGCAGGCTCAGAAGTTTAGAGACATCTGGGGAGTCCCGGTCTTCAGGGGCCTGCCTCTCATTCTCCCTGGCTCTTATGTCAGGGATGCAGGTTTTCCCGAGGACCTCTGATGCCAGCGGGTCAGGCCTGCTTTGGTAGAACGCTCAGTGTCTTTGAGGTTCAGCCATTCCTGTCAAATCCTGGGCTGATGTTTGTCCACTGCCTGAAGCTTTGTCAGCTACTGGGGAGACCCTGGGCCACCCCTTGGTTCTCACTGCTCTTCACCCTGAGCTGCTCATCCCCTGCAGACAGCAAAGCAAAGAAGTCACTTCCCTCTATTCCCCCCACATTCCACAGGCCTGGATGTTCTCACTTGCCAGGGAATTCCTCTCCCCCTGCCAGCCCAGCACAAGTTCTAGCAGCTGGGCTGTGGCCTTGAGCCCAGGGCTGAGTGCACACTGACTACCCCCAGGATGGGTCCTCATAATCAGTGGGGCAGAAGATGTCAACCCCATACCATATCTTGCAACCTCTCCTCAGATCACTCCAGGGCCAGCCTTCTCGGGATGGGTCCTTTGTGAGGCTGTGCCCACGAGTGGTGGGGGGAGGGAGGTAGTGCTAGAGTCTGGTTGGGACCTCACCACCAAGGGGACAGGGAGCAGGCAGGGGTGGGCATGGCATCCCTTCACCTGCAGTGTTGACCTGACAGTTCCTGCCAGCCCGTCGGGAGGTGCAAAGCAGAGACAGGCATTGGAGGTGTCCACAGTGGGCCCCAGTGGTTGGGCCCTCACAGTTCCTGAGGCCTCATGATCAATATTGACCAAGCAGGAGGACTGAAACCAGGAATTGGTGCCTGAGCAGTGGCTGTATGTTCACACAGGACTCCAAGTGCCTTTGCCTGTTGGCATCATACTCTGCCCTGCACTTAGCCTGGTAGGATGGGCTCTTGGTGTTTTTTGAAGCAGACAACTGCTGGGTTGGCAGGAGAACTGCTTTTGGTGCGCTGGCCACCTGGCCATCTGCTAACCCTGGTGTAAGCACAGCCTGATGGGAGAGGGCAGGTCTGGGTTCCAGACCTCTCAAGGCAAAGCACATTCAAGTCCAAGAACACCCATCCTGCAAGAGGCTTCTCCACCATGCAGGACATCAGGTGTCCACTCACCCTTACATCACTCAGGGCTGGGGGGTGGGGAGGCTGGAGCACATCTTCCAGGCAGACCTGTAAAGTGCAGAGCCTGAAACAAGGCAGAAGTTGGGGAACATGAAGAGTGGGGAACCAACCACTGACTCACATTGAGGGATCATGGAGGGTTTTTCAGATGGGAGGGCTGTCTTG